TTCATATTGCGCTTCATTGGTTCTTCGCAACAGCTGTTCGGTGCTTCGCATGAGGTGTGGGGCAGTGATAAGGCTTGGGCGTTGAACGAAGGGCGGCCCAGGGTCGTGTGGGCGCGCCAGGGAGCTATGCGGTGACATACGGGGTGTATGCTGGATGATGAGAGCTCGCTGATGTGGCATATTAAGCCGAGGTGGAACTGCATTCTGCTGTTGGTTGTGCCGAGGCAAAGACCGGTCATCATAAATGCACATCAGGTTGCCGGTGAGAAATCTGTGGTTGGGGGCAGCATTATGAGGTACGTTGCTCTCTTCCTTATCTACCCTCTTCATTACTTCTTACCGTGAGGAAGTGAGTCTTGTCTTGAGAGTCCTCTCAATGTGAGGTGTCGCGAGCGCTCAACCTTGAGAGTCGACATTCTTCCTGGGCGGCAAGCTGGTGGGAGACGAGCGAAGCCTCTGAAGGGCCCTGGACGAAGCACTCGGGTCACGGTCACCATGCCAACCCGCTGGGACTAGAACACGCATGCTTTGCCACAAGTCCTTGGTTCTGCTGCTTGCGCAATAGAGGTCATGCAGGGCATGCCAGCCCTTTGACAGACGCTTACCAGACCATCTATAAATATTTATGGCGGGGACTCGGTGTTGACTCTGCTTGTGATCGTCGTCCTGTCTGCGACGTTAAATAATTCCTGAGGAGTTATGGGGGATCTCCTTAAATGCCTCCTGATCAGCCAGATCAAACCGGGTGTAAGGCTCGTTGCATGCGAGGGTAAATAATGTGCAAGGGCTGGCAGGTTCGGCGTTGACTTGGGGCACAGGGGTGGTCCGGATTGCACACCTTCAGACACGCTGCTCAACCAGATGCTCAGGGCGTCGACACAAAGAGACAACTCAAGAAGGATACAGGGGGAGGGGGGATTCCGGTAACTGTTCACAGTGGCAATCATTAGACAATCTGCCATCCAGTATACATCTCCAACAGGACATATTATTTTTATTTTTGATTATCTAGTTGTTACAAACTTGACTAACAACTGACAGACAGCTGCAGACAGATTAGATCTTTGCTGCATTGCAATCTGTTCTAGGGTAATCTAAAAATAGATGTGATATTTCCTGTAGGATCTGACATTAGTTGTTACTACATCACCTAACTGTTTCTGTTCAATCCGACTGTTTCTGTTCAATCCGACCGAAATTAGTTGTGATTCGTAATCGGTTGTGTCAGGCTAAGGTAGGATTCAGTGTGGATTCTAGTTTAGATCACACACACTGTAGCTCATGAGTGATGCAAGCACAAGTGAGGAGTTGTTAGTGGACGACCGTAGGACTACTCGTGGGACTGCTTGCAGTCGACCTTTGACATTCTTGGAGTTAGGTCTAGGAGACGAGAGGAGATTGCGGAGAGAGGCTAGAGGGAGAGCAAGGCAAGGAGAGTGAGGGCAGCTGAGGATAGTGCCAGGGCTAGAATTTCAGCTAGCACCGGTACAGCCATGGCTACTTCATCTACCACGTCGCAAACCTCTTCACAGTCCACTTCGTCAGGAGTTAGTTAGAGTGGTCCTCAGGGGTCCATTAGCCAGAGTGTTGGCTTGCGAGTCAGCCAGCAGACTCAGCTCACGCCGAAGGATTATGAAATCCTCCAAGCAGAAGAACTTCAGGATGAGCTACAACGGCAATTGGATGAGGCAGCAGAGAGGAGAAGAAAAGCAATCATGCGGAAAGCTAGACTAGGTAGTAGAAGAGAGGAGCTAGGCAGATTGGAAGCATTTGATGAGTCAACGCTTGACCCTGCGATACGAGCGCTGAGTAACTCGCTTCTTTATGTGGCGGAAGCGCAGGCTGTCCAGCAGGAAGTGCTGGCTGAACTAGTGGCAGGCCAGAAAGAGATTTTGGCTGCACTACGGGCTCCTCGTCCCATGATGAGGCAGCCTCAGTATGCTGTAGTTCCCCCTCCAGATGCAGGTCCATCAGTGACGCTACCGCCGGTAGGGCCTTCATTCTCACCTATGTTTGGCATGCCCCCTCCAGGTGGTTTTGTAGCAACTAGTGGTCCGGTTCATAGAGTCCCAGTCGTACAATCGACGACAGTGGTTACTACAGTCCCACTGTCAAGTCAGGCCCAGGTTAGTGTGCAGCAACCTGTTTCGGTGGCCATGCAGCCACTGCAGCAAGGCCCTGGGTCAATGCAGCCTATGCAATGGATGCCCAAAATACCCTTGCTGAGTCCTAAGCCCTTCTCCGGCGACAGGAAGAAGGACGAGGACTTGGATACCTGTGTAAGGACGGTGCCTGCTTATGTGAGGCACAAGCTTACCAAGCCAGAGCAGGAAGTTGTTGTGGCTGCCTCCTTCTTAGAGGGGTCAGCAGCCCGTTGGTTGAATGGCCTAGTGCAGCAGCAGGGCTACGGTCAAAACTTCAGGAAGAGTTCGTACGGTCCGTGTATAACAGGTGGCATGACCCTCAAGGGGCTCAAAAGGCCACTGATGCAGTCAACACTTTTTGTGCCAGACGGTACAAGAATGTTAGAGAGCTGACGGACACCGTAGAACGTCTGCTTGTGGTACCTGGTGTGCGCTATGACCAACAGGTACTCCTTACGGATTACCTTAGATGTCTTCCTTCAGAGGTAAGGACAAAGCTGGTAGATGAGGCTTATGTCGATCAGCACAACTTCGCCTCTTTCAGCAAGAAAGCCTTAAACATAGAGGCTAAGTTGGGATCTGCGCATCAGAGTCAAAGCTGGTAGATGAGGCTTATGTCGATCAGCACAACTTCGCCTCTTTCAGTAAGAAAGCCTTAAACATAGAGGCTAAGTCGGGATCTGCGCATCAGAGTCAGGGCGATGGTAGGAAGAAGAGACTACCCCAAGACTGGAAGAAGAAAGGTCGATTAATGTTCGTCAATCGTGATGGTTAGACGACAGAGATTGACGACTTCCCAAACTTTGGGGAGGACACAGAGCATGATGGGGCCAGTGAGACTTCAGATTGGGGAGTCGTGGCACCTATCAAAGAAAAGGCTAGGGGGACCGGGAAGAAGAAGGTAGTACGGTCCACGGGTCAGGGCGACCAAGGAACACCCGCCTGGGTAAAACTTGGTTTAGAGTACGAGGTGTGCAGGGACCGAGTTGCTAGGGGCACGTGCATGAACTGTGGCAATAATGGCCACACATCTCGAATGTGTCGAGGCAAGAAAGTACTGACAAGGGTAGCCTCACCAACGGTGGTGGGACTATCTTCGAACTCGGGCCGTGCTTCTGCGAGCACTTCACAAGGAGACACCTCGGGCTAGTAGGAGTTTTAGCCGCTCTTACTCGCGCTGAAGTGGTAACGCTACCTTCCCCACTTCAAGCGTTGGCCAAGGCTAGTGACCCCCGTATCGCCCTGCAGACACATTCAGACCCACTGACACTCTGTTCGAGAGATGTGTTTGAGGCCCTAGAAGAGTTAGAGACTGAGTGGTCACAGAAGGACCCCAGGGACTCTTGGGTGATGATTAGTAGAGGTCCAAAGGGTGAACATTTCATGGTAGAGGTTAACGTAGGTGGCCGCAAGGTTGGCGCCTTCGCAGACATAGGCTCTACACGGAACTTCATCAGTCGTGCTTGTGTGGATAGACTGCGCTTAGGGGACCAAGTGCAGCGGCTTAGCAGAACTGTAGCTTCTACACTGGCCAACAAGCACCAAATGTTGGTAAAAGACTATGTCGAGGATGTAGTCTGTACCTTCTCCTATGGAGGAGGGGAAGTGAGCCATAAAATCTCCTTCCTGGTTAGCAACGAACTGCCCTTCGACATGCTCCTAGGTATGTACTACCTCAAGGTCGCGCAACCGCAATTTGACTAGGATAGAAAGGTGTTGATTCACAAATTGCCCAACGGTAGATCTGTTAGATTGCAGAAGTTTAAAGCTAGCAGTCTGATAGAAAACTACGGGTGCATGTGTGCATCATCTTTTTATAACTATTATAAGTTGAATCGCAAGGACGACATGTGTCTTGTATTTGTCTCTGAGAAAGGGGAGGCCGTAAAAACACCCCCAGAGATAGAATCAGTCGTCGCTCAGTATTCAGACCTTTTTGAGGAGCCCACAGGCGTGGTAGAAAAGGAGGTTGTCCATGCAATAGAGGTTGTCCCAGGTAGTAAGGTGCCTAGAGGACGAATCTATAGGATGTCTCCTGCGGAGTTAGATGAGCTCCGCCGCCAGCTCAAGGAGCTCACARAGAAGGGATGGATTCGGCCTAGTACCTCCCCTTACGGCGCTCCAGTCCTATTCGTACCGAAGAAGGGAGGTACCTTGAGGATGTGCATTGACTATAGGGGCCTCAATGCCATCACAGTTAAGAACGCGGAGCCCCTACCCCGCATCGATGACCTCTTTGATAGAGTGCAGGGATGCCGGTACTTCACCAAGATAGATCTGAAGTCCAGATACCATCAAATTGCCATTAGACCTGAGGACCAGCACAAAACCGCATTTCAGACCAGGTACGGTTTGTACGAGTTTGTGGTGATGCCCTTTGGCCTATGCAATGCACCTGGTACGTTCCAGCACGCGATGAACAAGATTTTTCATGACTACTTAGACAAGTTTATCGTCGTGTACCTCAACAATATTCTTATCTTTAGTAGGACTGTAGAGGAGCACGCTGAGCACTTGAAAATAGTGCTAGGTCTTCTAAGACAGCACCAGTACAAGATTAACTTGGAGAAATGCGAGTTTGGTTGCACCAAGATTTTGTACTTGGGTCATGAAATCTCAGCAGAAGGACTAAGGCCAGATGATGCCAAGGTGGCCAGCATACGTGACTGGCCCAAACCTCAGACTGTTACTGAGGTCAGATCGTTTTTGGCGATGACAGGCTACTATCGTCCGTTTGTGAAGAACTATAGTACTATAGCTTCCCCATTGACAGATCTAACTCGACTTGACACCCCTTGGGAGTGGACTGAAGAGTGTGAGGCAGCCTTTAGGAAACTGAAGTATGCCCTAACATACTATGAGGTTCTCAAACTTCCTGATCCTGATCAGCCCTTTGTCGTGACCACGGACGCCAGCCAATAGGGCATAGGCGCGGTCTTCCTTGGGATCGAGATGATGTCTGAAGCTCACACGATACTGCATTCTCGGTTTAGGAGGGCGCCCTCTGCCTGATGGTCGAGGAACAGGCATCATTCGATGCTCCACGATCTGATCGATGTCCACCTTGCCATCCATGGTTGGGGGCAGCATTGATCTTCTTGAAGGAAACTGCTCTGTAGCAGCGAAAGTTGCCAACTTGGAAGCATGGAAAACAGGGTACGTACGTAAGGGGGGAGGAATACGAATTACGTATGATGGCCCATCCGGTTGATCCCCTACAATGTCCAAGATCTCCAAGGGCCCAAAGCATTGTGGCATCAACTTCCGTGAGATCCCCATTTCCTGACCTAGTTCAGATGACTTTACCCAGACTCTCTCACCTACCTGAAAGTTAGAGGGCCGTCTATGTCTATTCTCATATGCGGTCATAGCCTCCTGAGAAATCTTGATATGTTCAACGGCCTGTTGCAGCATCTGTTCATACTTTACAGCAAACTCTATGCTACCAGGTGCTGCAGTGTGTTGCCTTTCTCGTAGCAGAAAGTCAAGCGCACTTCTGGGCCTCCAACCAAGATGTAGCTGGTTAGGACTCATACAGGTAGTACTGTGCATAGCGTTATTGTACAGGCTGGCGACGAGAGGTAACTTCTCGTCCTAGTCATCCTAACTTGGCTTGATATAATGCCGAAGCAGGTGCTGTACTACCCAGTTCATCTGTTCGGCTTGGCCATTTGACTCAGGATGATTACCTGAAGTCATTTGGAGTTTGGTGCCCATCTGTTCAGCAGTGGATTGCCACAGTTCACTGGTAAACCGTACATCCCTATCACTTACTATAGATGTAGGGAGTCCGAAATCGCGTACCCAGTTGTCTAAAAACAGCTTGATGATAAAATCAGTTTTCGCAGTTTCTGGCATGGCGATAAGTCTTGCATACTTAGAGAAACGGTCTACTATCACGAAGATGTATCTTTTCCCAGATTTGTTGGTCACAAGTGTATCCATGAAATCCATGGACACGCTCTGACCAGGGTCTTCAGGAATCGACAAGGGCTTGAGGTGCCCAAGTGGAGCCTGAGTCCTGGGTTTGTCCCTTTGACAAACCTGGCATGTTTCAACATACTTCTTTGCATCTTGCATCATAGTAGGCCACCAGAATTTCTGCACTAGGTTAGCTGAAGTCTTTTTATAACCGAAGTGTCCACAATCTTTTATAACCGAAGTGTCCACAATCTTGCATCATGGCATTCTCCTAAAAATAAACTACGCAAAGACTCGCTACAAGGAACACACAATCTTTTATTCCCTGCCTTTTCAAGAAACAGCAAGTTGTCTACCATCGTAAAGGCGGCATTGTTACTTGGTGCGTTGACGATGCTTATGTGCAGTGAGGATACTTTAGCACTGACTTGTTGATGCGGCACCCGGGTAGAGGGGTGAGCCGTAGGAGGGCTGTGGCGACAGCCTGGGAGCTGTGCCGACAGTGGATGTATGTATGATGATGAGAGCATGCTGATTTGGCATTTTGGCTGAGGTGGCACTGCATTGCGTTGTGGGTGGTACCAAAGCTACATCGAAATGCATATTGGCTCAATTGGTGAGAAATCTGTGGCTGGGGGAAGCTATCTCCAGGTAAATTGTTCCCTTACCTTATCTACCCTCTCAATCTCTTCTTACCGTGAAGAAGTGAGTCCACCCTTGAGTTTCCGCTTTTCGTGAGGAGTCGTGAGCGCTCTACATCGAGAGACAACATTCTTCCCTTTGGCGCATCGGGCAGGAGAAGGCGGTGGCTATGAAGGGCCCTGACATAGGTCACGGTCACCATGCCAACCCATGGGAGTAGTACACACGGGCCATCCTGCTTTGTCCTTTAAAGGCTCTTTGCTGCGCTGATAGAAGGCGTGTGCGGACTGACCAGTCCTATGCAGACGCTTACCAGACCGTATATAAATATCTCTCTCGGGGTTCTGAACTATCCACTGGCTGTGATCGTCGTCCTGTCTGCGACGTTACATAATTCCTGAGGACCTTGGGGGTTGTCCTTAAACTGTCTCTTGATCAGCCAGATCAGTCAGACGTAAGGCTTGTTGCACGCGAGGATAAATAAAGGGCAGTTCTTGTGACGGGGCTGAGGCAGAGCAACGAGACTGGGAGAAAGAGGGAGAGGGAGAGCACACCCACACGCTCACTCAACTCGACGCAGACTCGACACGACTCGACAGGCGCGGGCACAAAGTGGCAAAGTCACAAAGTCGCAAAGTCGCAAAGTCGCAATCTTGGATTCCGAACACAATGTCTCAGCAAGTCGCACTGAAGCACAAGCACTGAGGCCGAAAACTGAATGTCGAACTGAGCTTGAGTCCGGTCTTAAGTACCGGACTCAAGTTGAGGACCGGGGGCAAAAGTGCAATTTTCCCCAGGGATCAACTCAAAATCGAAGGTCTGAGCCTGGGCGCCAGAATGCCGGATGGCGCCAAGTATCAAAATCTGAAAGTGCTAGAGGAGGAAGTTGAGAACGGGCGCCAACTGCAGAGGGTGCCAACAGTCAGGAACCGGAGATCAAAGACTCAAAAAAAAAAAAATAGCAGCCTGGCAGGTGCTGACCCGCGGACCAGGGATCGAGCCCTGGCTGAGTCCGTAACACTATTCCCTCCCTCTGGAAGGCAACGTCCCGGCTGCCAAAGACCCAATGAACAACTGTGACGGATGGGACGGGGCCGATCACTGGTCAGAAAGGAAAGGGGGAGTAATGCAAGTAGCAAAGTAATCCTATTGAGGTTCTACAGGGATGAGGGAATCAATGCTCGAATAACAGGGTAATCCTATCGAGGTTCTACAGGGATGAGGGAATCAATGCTCAAGTAAGAGATGAGGGAATCAATGCTCAAGTAAGAGGGTAATCCTATTGAGGTTTTACAAGGGTGAAGTAGCAATGTTTAGGTAATAGGGTAATCCTATTGAGGTTCTACAAGGGTGAGGGTAGCAATGGTCAGGTAAAAGGGTAATCCTATTGATGTTCTACAGAGTTATAGGTTGTCAGGTTTGAGAGAAAGAAGATTAAAAAAAAGAAAAATTGTTCGTTCAATGCTCAAGTGTTGGGGTGTCCGAGAAGATCCGGGAAAACAACGTCTCAGGTTGGTAACAAAGTGTCAAAATGTGAAGAATGTCTTGAGCTGCGTAGCATTCCGTTCGCGTTCGGTCGGCGAACGCGAACGCATATGACCGAACGCGAACACGTCCGAAAATCAACCGAACGCGAACGTATTTTTTTTAATTTTTTATTTTATTTTTTTATATATATAGGGGTTTGGGGGCATAGGGGGTTCTGATGGGTGCGAAGAGGAGGAGGAGGAGAAAATGGAGAACGACGACGAGGAATAGACAGAAGGAGAAAAGGTCGAGGAGGAGGAGGAAGAAGAGGAGGACGAGGACGTAGATATGGCGGAGGAGGAGGAGGAGGAGAGAATGGAGGAGGACGAGCAGTAGTAAGAAGAAGAAAAGGTTAAGGAGAGAATGGAGGAGGACGACGACGAGAGAATGGAGGACGAAGACAATGGGGAGGGTGTAGATATGGTGGAGGAGGAGGAAGAAGAAGAGAAGGAGGACGTGGATATGGCGGAGGAAGAGGAGGAAGGAGGAGAAAGGAGGAAGAAGAAGAAGAGGAGGAAGAAGAAGGGAAAAGAAAATAATCGCGCATGCTGATGTGGCAGCGGAGGAGGAAGAGGAGGAGGAGAAGAGAATGGAGAACGAGGACGAGGACAAGGAGCAGAAAGAAGGAGAAAAGGTCGAGGAGGAGGATAAGGAGGACGAGGAGGTCAACGAGGTGGAGGCGCTGGAGGGGGAGGAAGAAGATCGGGAGGGTGTAGGCTGTGTAGCAGGAGGAGGAAGAGAAGAGGAGGAGGATGTGGATATGGCGGAGGAGGATGGGGGAGGAGAATAGTAGGAGGAGGAGGAGGAAGAGGAGGAGGGAGGAGGAGAAAGGAGGAAGAACAAGAAGAGGAGGAAGAAGAAGGGCAAAAAAAAAACCGCGCATGCTGACGTGGCAGCCGCGCTTTCGTTACAGGAGGAAGACGAGGAGGAGAAGAGAATGGAGAAGGAGGACGAGGAGTGGAAAGAAGGATAAAAAGGTCGAGGAGGAGGATAAAGAGGTGGAGGATAAAGAGGAGGAGGAGGAGGTGGAGGAGGAGGAGGAGGCGAGGGTTGACGAGGTGGCGGAGAAGGATGGGGAGGAGGAGCGCGACCTTTTTTTTTTTGTTTCTTCTGGTCACCTTCCTCCCTCTCCTCGTCCTCTTCTTCCTCCACCTCCCTGTCGTTGACCACCTCCTCGTCCTCCTCCCCCTCCTCCTCGTCCTCTTTATCCTCTTCCTCCTCTGACGAACGCACGGCTGCCACGTCAGCACGCGCGGCTTACAAAAGTCGCGCGTGCTGACGTGGCAGCCGTGCGTTCGTCAGAGGAGGAAGAGGATAAAGAGGACGAGGAGGAGGGGGAGGAGGACGAGGAGGTGGTCGATGACACGGAGGTGGAGGAAGAAGAGGACGAGGAGAGGGAGGAAGGCGGGGAGGAGGACTTCGATATGGCAGAGGAGGAGGAAGAAGACCACGAGGAGGTGGTGAGGGTCGATGAGGTGGCGGAGGAGGATGGGGAGGAAGAGGAGGAGGAGGAGAAGGAGGAAGAAGAACAAGCCGAAGAAGTTCGAAGGAGGAGGAGGAGGACGAGGAAGAGGAGGAGGAGGAGGTAGACGTGGAGGAGGAAGACGAGGAGCAAGAAGCAGATGACGAGGAGGAGGAGGAGGTGGGGGAGGAGGTCGACGAGGTGGAGGAGGAGGACGAAGACGAGGAGGAAAAGGTGGAGGAGGTCGACGAGGTGGAGGAGGAAGAAGACGAGGAGGAGAAGGTGGAGGAGGTCGACGAGGTGGAGGAGGAAGGAGAAGATGAGGAGGACGAGGTGGAGGCCCTGGAGGGGGAGCAGAACGGGGAGGATATGGCGGGTTACGAGTCAGAGGACGAGGATGAAGAAGAAGAGGAGGAGGAGGAGGAGGAGGAGAAGAAGGAGGGGGCGGAGGAGGACGCGACGTGGTTTCTCACCTGGGAGGCGATGGAGACAACGGTGACGGCGACGACGACGACGGCGACGGCTCCCCGGGCGGGTGACTGGCGGGGTATGCGCGTTCGAATTCGAACGAGCGGGCCCAGGCTGGCCCCTCCCGCCACGCAGATGCTCCCAGCGCCCGCCCAACCCCGCCAACCAAACCCCCAAACCCCACAACGCCCCCTGGTTGCCCTACCGAGCCCTGTACCGCCCGACGACGGATGCGTTCGCCGGCCGCTGAAAGTCGTTCGTGCGAATGTGTTCGCGCCGCGATCGGGCGAACGGCCGAACACATTCGGACGTTCAGAAAAACTCCGAACGTGTTCGCCGTGCTACGCAGGTCTTGAGGAAGGTCTAGGAGGGTGTCACAAAAGTGTCAGTGATGAAGCAGTCTTCAACCGTTCCGTGATGTAGACGACAATGACTTCAGCTTGATTGCCCCAGTAGCAGGTTGCGCCCGGCACACGATTTGATCACGAGGTCTGATCCGGATAGCAGGTCCCCGACTGATCTTGATGTCCATCTCAGAGATATTGCTCCAGAAGTATGCGAGTCCAACGTGCTGACAGCATGGTGGCCAACCAGTTGTCTTATCTCCTCGTACTGAGCTGCAGCATGCCATCGTCCTCGTGCACTTGCCATTAGATCCGTTATCGCCGACAACGTGCAGGGGCCACATGTACTACTTGGACAAGAGGGACAAAGATGTGGCAGAGGACAAATGGGAGAACGGCGCGAGATGGAAGCAAGAGTGGATCAGACAGAGGGAAGTCAAGGGGCAAGGGGTTTGCTGGGTACAGGGGATGTGTGTGGTGCAAGGAGGCAGGGTTGAGGCAGGGTTTGCGGGGTTTAGCCAGGGTTTAGGCGGGGTTTAGGCAAGGTTTAGCCATAGTGGGCAGCTAGGATATAGGATGGGCACGATCATAGGCGCGAAAGAGTTTCATGGCATTCTTAAGGTTAGTAGGAGGTTCCCATGTGGATTCTTCGTCAGGGTATCCTGTCCATTTAAGTTTGTATTTTGTGATTGGTTCAGGGTGCTCAGATACCTAAGTAGTTCTTCGTCCTATGATGCCTTCGACGACGAATTCAGGGCTTGTGGGTAACATGATTGGTGGTCAGCGAATTGGGGTGGGGATTCATGGTATTCTTTTAGGTATTCAACGAGGAAGACAGGGCGGAGTTGGAGTTTGTAGTTGACGGGGGAGGTTTGTTCAATGATGGGGAAGGGTTCGAGCCACTTGCTCGAGAGTTTCTTGGACAAGCCGTGTTCGGGTTCAAAGCGTTTGGCGGAGAGCCAGACTTTATCCCCTTTTTTGAATAACCGCCAACAAGCAAACACGGAACCCCATTCCTTCCTCGAGTGGGCCAATCTCATCACCTGCAAAAAACGGTCGATGACTCTACTTTGAACAACTCTGTCGCCTTAGACAGAACGACCCAATCGACCGTTTTGTCCAATACATCCGTGCGTTGCGGCAACACATCCCCCTTGATTACGTCAGCGATGCCGCATTCATCTCCCGCTCAAACGGGGATGTCGCAAGGACCGAGCCACCTCGCTCCTCCACGACCCCCCGATGTCCCTCTCCGATCTCTTCAACCTCGCCATCCACCCAGACAAATTCCTCACCCCATACAAGGACGCACTCACATCCGCCCCACCCCGCCCACAATTCTTTCATAACATCACTGACGAAACCTCTCTCTCTGCCTCCTCGGACGAGTTTTCCACCCCTGACCCCGACACCCTCTCAGACCCACTAGACACCACATCGCTCTCCTCCGACGAGCTCTCCACCATCCACCTTATGCGGATGGAAAAGAGAGAACGCTACAACCGTCCTCCCATAAACACCCACCCAACCCGTCTCACGAAACTCATGCCGGAGGAGCGAACCTACCTCCAAGCTAAGGGTGGATGTTTCCGGTGCAGACAGTTAGGACGTCAACAGACAAGCTGTCCAAATACCAGACAGTTCACACGTCCGACACCCAGGTTCGCGGCCCCCCAACCCACCGCTTCCGCATCCGCCACTCTCGGCCCCTCCTCTCACTTAAACATTGTCCCAATGATCACCATGAACCCGCGCCGACATCGTCGACTAGTCTGTCGGCCATCCCGTTGGTGACGATCTCCACACCGGTGACGATCTCCACCCCACCGGTGCCCCATTTGGCATCGACAATACGTCTGCCTTCCCCTCTCTTCGGTGCCGCACATCCCACCGGACGACCCCCAGGTGTCGCAACCCTCGTCGCCTGATGCCCCCCTCACTGCCACATGTTTCTCAACCCTACTTTCAAATCCATCGTCTGTCACCTTCTCTGATGTTGTTGAGGAACAAGCCCGACACGATCGACTTGTCCAATTAGGCAATGAACAACGCCAACTCAACACAATTATCTCCACCGCCAACTCATCACGCTTCCACCTCAAATTCATCGCCGCCACCCTCGGTGTGTCTACGACTAAGTTTCGGGCCTTGCTCGACATTGGAGCCACCGGTAACTTCATCACCGAGGCCTGTGTGTGAAAAGTCGGTCTTACCTCCACCGGTTACGAGTCCTCAATTACAATTCATTTAGAGAACAAAGACACCGTCGTCGTAGTAGACTGCACGGTTCTCGAGACCACCATGACTGTCGAAACCCTCTGCAGTCAGGTCTCATTTGATGTCATGCACTTGATGTGCGATATCGTTTTGGGAACACCGTGGCTGGACCGCTACATGCCATACGTTTTCCACCCCAACTTCCTTCGCCTTACCAACCCCCCTGACACAACCGTCGACATTCCCTATCTCCCCTATCCCACCTCCCCAAGCTCCGTCACCCCGCACCAATTCCTTCACATGGCTCGCACGAACCCAAACTCCACCTACTATTCCCTTGTCATTGATCGCGAGCGTCCCGAAGACTTGCTCCCAAACGGACAAACCCGACCAAGCCCCCCCTCCGACCCCGCCCTCACCTCCATCCTCGACGACTTCAAGGACGCCTTCCCCGAATCCTTGCCTGCTGGATTACCTCCGGATCATGGCGTATCCCACACCATCGATTTGGAGCCCGGCCACTCTCCACCTTGCCGCCCTCCGTACCAACTCTCCGTTCCGGAGCTGAAGAAATGAAGCGGCAACTCAATGAACTCCTTGAAAAAGGATTCATGAAGCCGAGTTCATCCCGCTTCGGCACAAGCTGCCTTTTCGTAAAGAAAGGCGGAACATCGGAACTTCGGATGTGCACAGACTACCGCGCCTTGAACCGGATCACGATCAAGAACAAGTACCTCCTACCTCGGATCTCTGAGCTTCTCGATCGACTCCGTGGAGCCAATACCAATATTGACCTCCGCAGTGGCTTCCACCAGATCTGCATCCGCGAGGAGGATACCCACAAGACCGCCTTCCGTTCCTGATTCGGGCACTACGAATTCCTTGTGATGCCCTTCGGACTCACGAACSCCCCCGCCACATTCCAATCTACAATGAATCACATCTTCCGCGACCTCCTCGAAGTCCGTGTCGTCGTCTACCTCGATGATATCCTCGTCTATAGCCCCACCTTCGAGTCCCACCTTCAGCATCCCCGCCAAGTCCTCTCTATCCTCAGAGAGCAAAAATTATACGCCAAGCTCAGCAAATGCACCTTTGCCACATCAAGCGTTGAATACTTTGGCCATATCGTCTCCGCTGAAGGTATCCGCATGGACCCCTCGAAGGTAACCGCCCTCGTCGAGTATCCACCACCCAAGACCCTACTCCAACTTCCATCATTTCTTGGCCTTGCCAACTACTACCGCCCCTTTATCCACAACTACTCCGACATCTCGTATCCCCTCCACGAACTCACCCGCAAGGATGAACCCTTCACTTGGAACGACCGCTGCCCAAACGCCTTCGATACCATCAAACAACTCATCACCACCACCCTCGTCCTCAAAATCGTTGACCCCAATCGCCATTTCTACATCACCACCGACGCCCTCGACTTCGCCATTGGAGCCGTCCTGTCCCAACATTTTCCTCGTGACCCCACCGGAACTCTCTCCATCAAGGAATCCCCTACCCACCCCGAGGCCCCACCCGACGAATACCCCATCGCCTTCGCGAGCAATAAACTCCTTCCCTCGGAAATGAATTAGCTCCTCGCCGTCATCAACGACCTCAAATTCTGGCGCTCGTACCTCGACAGGCAATATTTCACCATCCGCATGGATAACACCATTGTCTCTTCTATCCTAACAAAGAAAGACATTACCCCACGACAAGCTCTCTGGTTAGACTTTCTCGCCCAGTTCACCTTCACCATTTGCCATACATCCAGCAAAAGCAATCATGTTGCGGATGCCCTCTCCCAACGCCCCGATCACAAACCCCCTGAGAAAGTTTACGTCGCAATGACATATCCAACTCCTCCTGTCTCTTCACCATCGCTACACCCAAGGCTATCATTTCTCTTGCCCAGACTTCACAACCGTCTACAATAAGCTTCGTGACCTCAACCCTGTCCCCAACTACTCCCTCCATGACAATCTCCTTTACATCGATACTAAAGGCACTCGCCGACTTTGCAGCCCTGACGCATGTGGTCTCCGTACCCAGCTCTTGGCTAAGCACCACGACACCAAGACTGCCGAAGATCTTGGGTTTCAAAAAACATTCGACACCATCTCCCGCTACTTTCACTGGCCTTCCCTACTCGTCGACATCAAAGCATACATTTGCTCATGCCCTACGTGTCAAGCCGTCAACCCCTCAAACCGCGCCAAGCTCGGCAAGCTACAATCATTGTCGATCCCCACCCACCGATGGTCCATCTCCATGGATTTCGTCTGCGGTCTCCCCAAGACCGCGGACATGATTGCATCTATGTCATTGTTTGCCGCTTGACTAAACGCGGCCACTTCATCCCTTGCACCACACCGCACTACGCCAAGGACGTCGCCATTCTCTTCTTTGACTGTGTCGCACGCCATCACGGTCTCCCTGAGAACATCATCAACGACTGTGATCCTCGCTTCCTTTCACAATTTTGGAAACACCTCTCGCTTCCTTTCACAATTCTGGAAACACCTCTCGCTTCCTTTCACAATTCTGGAAACACCTCTTTAAAGCCTACGGAACCGCGCTAAAGTAGAACACTACATTCCACCCCTTGACCGATGGACAAACCGAGAGGATGAACGATACTCTTCAAAGAATCCTGCGAAAGTATTGTTATCCACATCAACACGACTGGGATCAGTTGCTCAGAGTCGCCTAGATCGCCTATAACAATGTTGTCTGGCCATCCACTGGCATGTCCCCGTTCTACCTCGACCTTGGCTACCATCCTCGCTTGCCCTCCAACTTCTTGCTCCCTTCACAACTCAACCCCTCCACTCCCTGCCCTTCTCTTAATGAATGGGTAGCAACAATGAACAGACTCCTTAGAGAAGCTACCGAAGTCCTTGTCGTGAGTTTGTTGAGGAACACGAAGACGTCCTTGTGGGGAAGGCCGGTGAAGGGGGGGATGTCCATTGATCGGAAGGATGGGGGAATGTTGCCCGTTAGGGATGTTGTGGCGGTGAGGGTGTTGAAATAAAGTTTGGGTGAGGAGGACGGTGTCAGGACAAACACCCCTTTCTGCCCGAGTTTTTTAAGGTCAGACACTGTCCGACTTTTTTTGTTGAGGAACATGATGAGATTGACATTGCCGAAGTTATTCAGACCAAACCTATAACTGACAGACCTAAAGCCTGGCGTCGTTGACGTAGGACGTCATTGACGTGTGACGTCATCGACGTTCGTTTGAAGCGGCGAAGGGTCGGCAAGGGTTACCGTATCGTCCCCGAGTTGTCTCTAAAAAGGTTGAAGGCCTAAGTTTCACCTGCGTGACGCGGCCGCGGGGGCCGATGCGCTCGACAGGTGGCGCCGTTGCCGGGGATAACGGCAAACTACCGTTCTCCCTGGTGGAACGACACTCGACTGATTTAAGACTTTTGATGAGAATTATAAATCCGTTGTGGTAAAGTATCTATGTGGGTTTGGGTTAAATATTGTCGAAAGCGAGACTAGCTTTATCTTTATGAATTTTATTGATTTATTATTAATATAAGTTATGTCTTTTGCGGGATGATACAATGACGAAGGGAGCATTTGCTCACCCGTAATGAGGTTGCTGAGTTTCTGCTAGCATTCCAGATGCGGTGGTATGCCAGCCATAGGTTGACTAGGGTTTTATTTTATAGTTTTTGTAATTTCTGTCACTATTGTTGACTTCTTCCGTAATGCTTGATGAGTATTGGTGACTGAATCCATATGATTTTGTTAAATAATTATTATAGATTTCGACCTTGTATGAGTTTTTTTTGTATGAGGGGTGAATTGATTTTATTCGAGTAAAAATATTTGTGACATTTACTGTGAATCGTGTTCTTGTTCATTTTGTTGTAACGAGTGTTTTACTGTTATTATGTCTTGATGAGATTCTGATAGGATTGTGAGACTCTGTGTATTTGGTTGTGAATGTGAGATTTTGTAAGCACAAGTCTAAGGAGATGGTGTGTACTTGGGTCATATGCCTGCGTGTTATCGCCAGACATGTGATTCAATTATTTATCTTGCCTTATGACTTGGTTTTGTGTCAATTGTTATGCATTGAGGAATCCTAGTGTTGTGAGCCCAGTATGAGGTAGTGAGGCCTACGCCGGAACCTTGTTCATAGTGGGATGTTGTCATCTCTCCTTTCGAGGGGGGTGGCTACATTATCGTTGAAAGGGAGGAAGGTTTTTTGAATCTTGTTATGACGGTGCCTTTGGAGTAGACGACTGTTGTTGGCATAAAGGGAGGAGTGACCACCCAACCTTTCGCCACGAATGGTCACCTTGCCTCCATGGTCAGGGTTTGGTCAACCCTGGTCATGATAGGTGGGGCAGTTTTATTCTACATGCAGCAGACTGACGAGGTCGAAAACACTGGAATCGGAGGGAAAGTGGTGAGGCTCGAGTCTAAAGCGGGGCTTGACTTCGAGATGTTATCCTTTATGGATTACACCACTCCTTGACGCATTCACAAAACACGTAGGAGATAAATCGTGCATGACAATTAAGTTGGAATGAGAATTAGCCGGACTGGACAAGGACTTTTGGGAGGGTGATTTCTCTCTGCGATGGTGACGGCACATGCTGTAGTATAGTGTGAGATTCCTTGTGTTTCGTGGGAGGCCCAGGTTAAACTCCTGGCAGCGAGAGACATGCTGAGGTGATGGGAATGCATCCCCATGAACACGAGAGACCCAGGTTAAATTCCTGGCAGTATGTGCTGTACGGATGAAAGACCCGCAGGGGGTGAAGCCTGACGAGACCTAGACAGGGGGTTATAGCCTGAAGAGAGTCCCATCAGGGGGATAAGTCTGACCCATCTATGAGAGACAAAAGAAAGGATGAGTGGCCGCCAGTGGGATGATGCTGGGATCATTCTTCTAAAATGTTCTTGTAATTCCTAAGGTTGGGTAAAGCCAACAGTGGATTCCATATTCTGGGGAAAGGCCTGTCAAAGGTTATTTCTGGCCCCATTCCAACTTATGACTGAATGAAAGTGCTTTCGAAGGAAGGTTCGAAAGAATTATAAGGCTTGAAAGTAAGCCTTTGTCTATTTAAGGCTTGAAAGTAAGCCTCTGTCTGTTCAAGGCTTGAAAGTGAGCCTCTGTCTGTTCAAGGCTTGAAAGTAAGCCTCTGTCTGTTCAAGGCTTGAAAGTAAGTCTCTGTCTGTTCAGGCTTGAAAGTAAAAAGGCTTGAAAGTAAGCCTCTGTCTGTTAAAGGCTTGAAAGTAAGCCTCTGTTATGTTTGAAAGTAAGTCAATGTTTGAGGTATTGTAAGTGATGAAATATGCATGGAGTACTTCATAAAAGAGTATCCAGATGATTATAAAAGGAAAGAAAGATAAACGACGGATACGTCGCTCGTCACAAATGAGTATGTAAGATCTGGATTAATTCCAGATATTCTGTGATTATGTGATATATTTGATGAGATCTTATAAAGACTTCTCCTTGTATTGCCTTATGGTAAGCGGCGGGGACGTCGCTTAATGGGGGCGGGGAAGGCTGTCGGGACACAAACCCCTGAGAGGGTTTCTGCCCGAGTTTTTTAAGGTCGGACACTGTCCGACTTTTTTTGTTCAGGAAGATGATGAGATTGACGTTGCCGAAGTTATTCAGACCAAACCTATAACTGACAGACCTAAAGCCTGGCGTCGTTGACGTGTGACGTCATCGACGATCGTTCGAAGCGGCGAAGGGTCGGCAAGGGTTACCGTGTCGTCCCCGAGTTTTCTCTAAAAAGGTTGAAGGCCTAAGTTTCTCCTGCGTGACGCGGTCAGGAGGGTCCTCGCTCGCGCGGGGGCCGATGCGCTCGACAATGGTACCCGGGTGAAATCAGTGGTGGGGTTGGTTGGGAGAAGTGTAGACGGGGGAAGTATTGGAACGGCGGGGCCGAGGGGTTCGGTTGTGGGGTTAATCTGTGTATAGGTGGGGAGGGCGAAAGTGATAGTGGATGAAGTCATGAGAAGTTTTGATTGGGGGAGAATGGTTGACGACTGCGTGACGGCGGGGGTTGTCGTCTTGTGCGGTGGGGTGACCGTCGTGGAGGTGTTGGTGGATGAAACGGGGGTGTGGATGACGTGCCAGCGGAGAGGGCGGTGGATGTGGGGGAGGAGGTGATTGGTGTAGATGTGGAGGCGGAAGATGGGGGAAGGGTGGTGGCACCCGAGGTGGGGGAGGGGGGGACGTGGTGGTGACAACTTGGATGGCGGGGGTTTGATTTTCAATGGCGGTCACACAAGCGGAGATGGTGGAGACGAATGTTTTAATGTCGTCGATGGATGAGTGGACGGATGTCACCATGCGGAGGAGTGTCGCGAGACCAGTGGCGGCATCGGGTGGTGGTGTTTGCTCGCCTGCGAGGTTGCGGACGATGTTAAAGACGGAGTCGACGCGGATGCCGAACATATCAATGTTGGATGATTGGGCCATGGTGGGGGAGGACGCGGTGGTAGCGGTAGTAGCGGTGGATGAGGTGGCAGCAGATCAGGTGGAGGCAGCGTTAGCAGCGGCAGCAACGGCGGCGTCGACGGCTGTGCGTTGAGAGTTCCTGGTTTTGCATGTCATGCCCGGGAGGGGTTCCTATTTAGAAGGGT